TAGTCACGATCCAATGTTGTGAGCCCTCCTCTCAGGTAACTCCATGCCTGCACTTGTGAAAAGTACATACAAACCATAAGATCCTCATCACAACAACATCAGTGACTGAATCTGAAAATGGTGAAGTGGATTTTGCATACCTTGCCACGGTACCAAGGGAGCTTGTCTTCATGGCCATGGTGGTGCAAGTAAGTCACGAAGTCCAACCACATTACAAATATCTGCATTTAAATTGTGATTGAAATCCCAATAAATACCTTGACCACGTAAGAGAAAACAGAGGAATTACAAGAACAGTTACCCAGTAAGGAATGCCATATAGTTTGAGCATTTGGATTGGACCAATGACAAAGTTGAGACAAACAAGCAAGGCAGCCATTGCAGTCCAACATGCAGTTGATGTCAGGACATCCTTCTTCTCTTTCGGAAGAAACAAATCACTGTCCGGATCATAATGAGAACCTTTTTTCCCTGGACTTCTGCTCCACTGCATCAAGAATACAATGAATCAGATGTGAAACATGACATTCTTCCTTTGATAGTGACCAGGTGGAGTAGTTATAGTAAGATGCGAAAGGATTACCAAGTAGAAAGGGTACGCAAGCATTGGGAAAGGCAATGTGAACCTAAAGATCTGAGTTGTTTTCTCCAAATTCTTGTAGATGCTTTCAGGCAACTGCAGTCACATAAACATAGGCTCCAATTAATGTAAGTAAACAGAGAAAAAGAAAGACTTAAACACGGTTTTTGACTTACAGGATGCCAAGACTCGTCATTCTCGACATGTCCATGGTTCTGGTGGTGAGTTCTGTGGCTAATTCTCCTACAAGAACAAAATCATATATTGCATGACGAAGGTGAGATTCTGAAAGTTGTTCATTTCAGATAGAGAAAAGGTTTGGTGGAAGCAGAATTCACCAGCCATGGTAAGGGACAAGAATTGAGGAATGAAGAAGATGACCAGCCACACTGTTCAGCCTCTGATCATTGGAGAAGCTGCCGTGTCCACTGCAAGGCAATCAACAGGACTAATTGGCTAAACAATTTAAAGGAAGCAGCAGAGGAAGCAAGAGGATAAGTTTGTTATACCAGTCATGGCCAAGAACAAAGAGAGCCCAGAACATGGTGCCTTGAGCGAACCAGTAGAGAGGCCAGAGAAGCCAACTGTTGAAGTAAGCAGCTACAGCAGCCAATCCGAAGACGACAGCGACATCTCTGGCAACATAACTCATCGACCTCCATGGATTCTTAACCCAGCAATGCTTGGGAATGGCTGCTCTTATGTCAGCCAAATTGAACGGAGGAGGCGCGCCTGGGTCGAATCTCTTCGTGTGTTCCTCCTCTGATGGAGACTTGAGAGTTGTTAATGGCGTGGCCACGTTCAACGCCCAGTTCCTGGTTCTGGCTAAGGACCCGTTTCGAGAAGAAGGAGGTGTAGTTGGTGGATTGAATCTGAGTGTGGGTGTTGGGTTAGAGGAGAAGGAGGTTGTGGGTTTAGGGTAGAATCTGGGGAGAGGTTTGATACCACATTGTGATAAAACCCAGCTCGCCATTGGAACTAACGCCAGAAGAAAAGAAGAGAAAGTTGCTCTCTTTATCTAACCAGAGAGTGAAGAGATAACATAGAGAGAGAGAGAGAGGGAGAGATGAAGTAGTGTTGGCTGGTCGTTGTCGTCGTGTATGTCTCTGTATCAGTCTTTTCTACTTTGCGCTGACACACAAAAGGTTACTTCTTTGTGAGGTCATCGTTTAATATCATCAGTAGATTTGTATGCTTGAATGTGACAGTCTTGTAATAACAGAAACAGAGGAGAAGGAAAATGCGGCGGGATTTAGGTTTTAGACCACGAGAATCAAATAAGTTATTTTTTTATTATACACAAGGGACGTGGTTCATTGTGGGCCATGTTAATGCTAGTCTCATATCTTTAGACTTTAGATAATAAACTCTCAGATTTTAACAAAATCAGAAATACATACGTACATTTGATCTCAGAATATTAATATTTAATGAAATTTCTCAATATTATCTTACACAATACAATGTGGTCTCTCTTCTTCCAAATCTCATAATGAAAGAGTGTTTTGTTTGTTTAAAAGACAGTCACAGCAGCCCTCATAAAGAAGAGAAACGAAAGATCAAATTAGGTTACAAGTTAAGATGGTTGCTCTCTTTGGTCAATCTATTTTACAGATTTAATTGATAAAAAAATTAAAGAAGTTTTCACCTGTGGGAAACATGAGATGACTTAACTTTATATACGGAAGAAGCTGAGATTATCACAAACGTACGTCGGTACGTGCACGCGAAGCAAAAGTCTTGTAGCTTTCTCATATGTTCCACCATTTTCGCTTCTCCATTTGCTTAGCAAGTTCATGTGCCATGGATGCAAAGTTCTCAGCCCCGTCTTGGAGCTCAGCTGTTCGTTGGCTGATTCTCTGTTATTATCAACGCAGACAAAAAAAGAAACAAACATGTTTTGTAGTTAGGATCCGTGTGCTATATAGCTTGGAAACATGTAACAGTTTTTCAATGAAAATAAAATCTCTGCTGCATAAAATATGACCTCAAGCTTTTCTCCACGCTCAAGAAGCTTGTCCTTTGCTTGTGAAGCTATTGCTGAAGTTTCCTGGAAACATTACCCAACCATTTTAGATATAGAAGCAAACAAGCTCTTTTGTGTTGATCGAATTGGTTTTAACTCACCCCTGCTTTTCTGTATTTGGCCTTAATTTCATCTTGCTTGCTTGTGTCGGGCAAATTTGGTTACAATTTGGCATTATTTAATGTTTATGAGCAGTCAATGATGTCTCGTAATTGTTTCCTTTCTCATAATCTTACGTCTTTGGGGTCATTCGAATCTTTTGAATCATAACAATCAGTCATTTATAACAGAGCAAGATCATTTAACAACAAGAAGACGTTTAAAAACTATATTAGCTAATGGATCGGTAGAGTCTCTCTGGTGAGCTGTTCTTCAGCTTTCCTCTTCTTCTTTGTTACTGAGACCAAACTCTTGACGTAAGTGATATAACTCTCCACGTTGAATTTTCTCTTGCAACCTGCGTAGTTCATGTACCGTATCTTCCCAAACACCGGTCTCTCTTTCCATCCCTAAAACACCATCATAAAGCACAAAGAGATAAGAAAAGGACTCTGCTTTCACTTATAGTCAAATTATTGGGAAGGAGAAAACGAAAGAACCTGGTCATGAACGCCACAAATGGACCACATACACCCAACGTATCCACTAGGGTCTCGACCATCGATCTCATACTACATCAACATATCAAAAGCTAAGCAACAGAAAGGAAATACATACACATGAAGAAAAAGAGTGGGAATGAAATAAGTTGTTAAGTACTACCTTGTTATTTAGATAGATGGATATAGAGAGAGCCTCTTCTGGTCCTTTGGTCCATTCTAGAATCTTCTTTGCCCAATACATTCTGCAAGTAAGGTTCATACTTACCATTACTACCATTACAGTGGCTTCAAAAACAGAACCAAAACTCTAGATTTTGACTTGCCTCATGAAACCGTGCATTTTCCCCTGATGTACCATCTCTACCTGTGAAGCATTCCATAGCTGTCAATTCAACACACCACAAAACATAATAAGCTTATATGCAGATAAAAATCAAAGCTATAGACAGATTTAGGAGATGATGATATGCGATGAGAGATTACATGATCTGCTGTCTGTCCCTTCTCTAACTGCTCCAACCTACAATTTCAATATCCTTCAGTGAGCATATAGACGATAGATTTTCAATCAAAAAGAATTTAAGGAAAAAACGGCTGAAACCATTACGAGTAAATGTGTTCTCTCTTATCTGAAGCATGATCCATCAATGACTTGCGTGCCCACTCCCAAGCTCCATCCAAAGAATCATAATGAGGTTGATAGTAGCAAAAGTTATCAGACAGTTCTCTTCTCACAATCAATTCTTCCAAGAATGTGTCAACCGCCTTTAATTAAGAACAAACAATGCAAACACCAAAGTAAGAGTGTGAACAAACACAGAAAACTATATATTCAATAGTATAATAGGCTTTATAAACCTGAGGGCAAGTACTCCGGACTTTACGAGCCTCTAAGGCACACCGTTGCGCTGATATCTGCCCAAAATGTAGATAAGGAGAGAGACCAGAGAGCGCTTTCGCCTTCACAGGATTGTTCCTATCCGTTGAATAATTCTTCAACCTCTTCGTCAAGAATCCATCTTTATTCCCCATCAGTACTTCCATCCCTGCAACTTCTCCAGGCACACACCACTCAATCTCAGGAACCTCTGCACCTTCCCTATACACACACATCACATAATCACCACCACTGAATCAAATGTGAATACACCGTTATAAAGCAACAACTAACCTTACAACTTTACCGATGAGGCTATCCCAATCAACCAGCGTCTTATCCATCATTTCGGCCCACTTCTTCTTCGGCGGTTCAAGTTTAGGAAACTCAATAAGGTACTCAGGTAACAGTTTGTTGATCTTGCCCCTTATTGTTCTAGCGCTGTACTCCAGTTTAACCGACGCAGCCCACATTGGAACTACATTGTGCGCATCAACTTCATGTACGGTTAACGAATCGCTCGTTCTCTTGACGACCTCATCTTTACAGCTTCTGATTTCCCGTAAAGGCGAGAAGTCGGTGACCAGATGTGATGCTCCACACTCTGTGATGAAATTTGGGATTGTCTCCTTCGCATCTCCCTGCATTGTTACATCAAAAAGTCCACCTTTTACTCAATAATGATCAACTAACCTATTGAGGTGATTTAAAGTATATAAATTTTTATCAGCATTTTGTAAAATTCGTCCCTAACCACGAAAGCCCCAAAACGCTTCATCTATCATTTCATTTCCATATAGCAAAAGAAAGTAAAACCCTAAATTCTCTCGTTGATTCCTCTGAAATTACTACCAGAAAGCAATTTATTTTCGATGGGTTTCGTGTCAGATTAAGCTATGGACTCACCTGTAGCAGAAAAAACGGAATTTGAAGAGATTCGATTTGCTGGTGAAGCTGGCGCAAACCCTTTAACATAAACCCTAACTGCCTCGCCTTTGCGCCCAGAAACTGATCGAACAAATTGAACACGACGGCCACCGGCGCGTTGGTTCTGTTTGCCAGATCAACGGCGTGGATCAACGCCCAGTTATCTCTCAGCCGTTGATCTCTGAACATCCAGTAAACAACGGGACCCACCGTTTGATTGGACGGTTGCCAAGAGCCTTTCTTTAGGACCCGAATCCGACCCGGTTGAACTGAGATTGCAGACGCCATACGAAGAAGAACAAGATGAGGATTGAGAATTTGTCGGATTTTGCTAATGTGCGCCGTTTATGCTAAGGTATCGCAGCGGAGGAGGATAAATTGCGCAGGGGGATACTCAAGCGACAAGCGCGCGTCTTCGAAAAATGGAGGGAAGACAATAACTACTGTTTTGAGTTTGAGTCTGTGGTTTGAATTGATCTACGTGGATGATACATACTCTTGACACGTGTCAATATATGATCCACGTCCTTTGCTTTGAAATATTTCTGCACAAGTACGGGCCGGTATAAACGTCTATAGAGCCCAGCAACAATAGCGAGAGACCCGAAACCCGCTCCGAGAATTCATATTTATGCATCATGCATGCATGCTGCGTTACCGTAAAACCCTACATTTCGTCTGCGATGGCTTCCGAGAATCTGGCGGAAAGTATTGTTGTTTTCGAAATAATCCAAGCAAAATCTGTGAACAAGGTTCGATTTCCCTGAAGATTTTTCATGGATTCTCCCCTGTTGACATTCTTCTCACTCTCGTCTTCCACCTTTCTATTTTCTTTTCTTTAATTTTATCTTTATGGTTGTGCTGGTTCTGTTATGATTCATGTAATTTACTTATTATAATGAAAGCCTTTTCTTTGAAAAATAAACAACTTTTAGTTTGTAATAAAATTCAGTATTACAAACTAAATAATGCTGTTTAAACAAGTGACCCAAGAAAGTTTTTATTCATAATAGTATTATAGATTATTCCCAGCATAAAGAGATCCCAACCCAATCACCAGTTACGCACATAAAAATGGCCAGCAGCAATAGCGAGACACCCAAAAACCGCTCCGATCGTTCCTGGGCCGCCAATCACGTAATACAAGAGAAACCCGAGTAGTACAAGTCCAAATGCAATCGATAGGCAATCCATCACTTTTCCCATATAATATCCTCTCGAAGGCAAAGCCAATATGAAAAACCCTCCCCAGCCGAGTGTGATAACCAGCATCGCTAAGTCATATGCAATAGTTTTTAGGTTTTCGGTGGGATTGCTTACAAGCGGCATTGGAATTTTGCCGGAGGCATCAGCTTCCTTTTTCAACGGTAAGAACACCAATATAGTTGTCAAAACAACCCCCATAACAGAGTGTATCGCCATTACGATCTCATTCCAACGCGTTGGTGATACTGGTGATACTAGTGATACTGTCACCCGATTGGTTCGCGCATTATGGTGCAAGAAAATGAACAGTGCTAATGTGAAGAGGAAAAAGGTATTATTGTTGAGATAGTAGTTATCCATCGTTGACGGTTGTGCCGCGCGCTTAGATCCTTAAATCAAAAACAATGTGTTTAGTTTATGCGTAGATTAATTCTAAACAGACGTAATCTTCTTATATGACTTCTCTTACGCGCTTGTAATTTAATTCGTTGCATATTTAGGAATGTATTTTCTCATATGTTGCATGAAAATGGAAACGCGGAAACAAAATATTCGAAACGGAAATGATTATTTTGAAAAGGATAAGATTTGAAAAAGATAAGATTGAAAACATTTTGAAATGAAATATTAAACATAAATTATAATGTTTAAAAAAAATCAACACAGACTCGGTACATAAATAATTAACATATATATCATATATGTATAATGATTTTTTTTTTGTTAAAGTGTATAATGATATATTAAACATATAAATTATATATTTAATAAAATCAACACAAATCTAATACAAAATATTAAATAGTGTACTAAAGATAAAGAAAGATCATACAATATTAACGTCAGAAATCATTTTCATTTTCACTTTTATGAATTCCATCAGCTAAAATTATTTTCATGCTTTTTGTAGAGTTGCCAAAAATGGCGAGTTTTCAATATCGGATATCCTCATTGAACGTATATTGCGTAATTAATTCTAACTACGTCTCCCCCTAATCCATTAATTTTGTTTTTCACTAATTTTGACCGCACGTGCGACAGGATGAAAAATTCAGAATTCTGTCAGTGCAACGACGTAGTTTCATCACAAGTTTTTTTTTTTTTTTCTTTACTGCTTCTCCGACAACGTGTACTCTCGGTCTCGGAGTTTACAGTGACACGTGTCTTACTTAGAATAGAGTATCTGTGGCAGTGGATTACGGAAATCGAGCTGCCACCGCACACGAACACAGTGATCTCTAAACCACTGAAAAGATTGTAATAAGACTATTAATCTGTTATTCTTTTTAGTTGGCAAGCTGCTGTGTATGATGAAGTTTGGCAAAAAAAGAAATAGACGTTTTCGTGTCGGTACGTACTACTCTCCCACCTTCGGTCCTTCGCTAATCCTTCGCATGATCCTCTCGGCCGGTGATTAAGAATAAAAATCAATTACTCTGAAAAACATAGTCGACTGTTTGACGTAATAATGCCTTATGGGTCGTTCTTTCAGTTGACATTCTTCTCACTCTGCTCTTCCACCTTTCTATTTTATGTTCTTTAGTTTTATCTTTATGGTTGTGCTGGTTCTGTTATGGTTCATGTAATTTTACATATTTTAATGAAAGCCTTTTTTTCTGAAAAAAACAACTTTTAGTTTGTAATGAAATTCAGTATTACAAACTAAATAATGCTGTTAAAACAAGTGACTCAAGAAAGTCTTTATTCATAATAGTATTATAGATTATTCCCAGCATAAAGAGATCCCAGCCCAATCACCAGTTACGCATAGCAAAGAGGCCAGCAGCAATAGCGAGACACCCGGAAACCACTAGGATCGTTCCTGGGCCACCAATCACGTAGTACATGAGACACCCGAGTAGTACAGATCCAAATGCAATCGATAGACAATCCATCACTTTTCCCGTAAAATATCCTCTCGAAAGAAAAGCCAGTATGAAGAACCCTGCCCAGCCAATGGCGGGAACCAGCATCGCTAAGTCATATGCAATAGCTTTTAGGTTTTTCATGGGATTGCTTACAAACAGCATTGAAATCTTGCTGGCTGCATCAGCTTCTTTTTTTAACGGGAAGAACACCAATATATTAGTCAAAACAACCCCCATGACAGAATGTATTACCATTACGGTCTCATTCCAACCCGCTGGTGATACAGTCACCCGCTTGGTTGGCCCCTTATGGTACAAGAAAACGACCAATGCTGATATGAAGAGGCAAAATGTCTCAAAATCCACCACATTATTATTGTTCAGATGACTGAATCGGTTCATTATCTTCGTTGCTACTTCCGATGAGAATTCCGCTCCAAGTCTTTGAAGAATCGTGTGTACCTATAAGTTTTTCGAAAAGCATTTTAATTTCTTTAAGAAAATGAGTAGGTTTTGTAATCGTGTCATGTGTGTAGTGCGTACCTGAAATTTAAACACTTGGCCAGTGTTCTCCTCGTCGGCTTCATCAAAAAATTTCCTCATGTGTTGTATCTTATGAGCCGAATGCAACATTAAGAGATATTGAGGAAAGTTGAGAGTCTTAAGATCACGATCACCGAATTTTTCCATCACGCATTTCACCTCATGAGGCGTCACGTACATATGCATCTTAGAGAGAGCTTCCTCCAGTTCCCCCATATTGAGTTCCTCATCACCGTCCCTATCAGCAAGATTGAAATTCTTGTTAGCAGATTCCAGATTGTAGTTATCCATCGTTGACGGTTGTGCCGGGAAAGAAATGTGTTTAGTTATAGTTATGTGAAGATTAATTCTAAACAGACGTAATCATATTATATAGAAACAAACAATTAAGTCTCTTACGCGCTTGTAATTTAATTCATTGCATATTTTGTAATATATTTTCTCCTATGTTACATAGAAACAGAAATGGAAACGCGGAGAAATATTTTCGAAACAAAAATGCCTATTTTGAAAAAGACAAGATTGAAAACATTTTGGAAACATATGTATTTTTCATATATTGAAATATTAAACATAAATTATAATAACTTTAAAAAAAAAATCAACAGAAATTTGGTACATAAATAATTGACATATATTATATATGTATAGTGATATGCTAAACATATAAATTTAAAAATAAAAAAAATCAACACAAATCTAATACAAAATATTATATGGTGAACTAAAGTAAGAGAGATCATACAATATTCAATGTCTAAAATCTTTTTTATTGTCACTTTTATGGATTCCATCAACTAAAATTATTTTCACGGTTTTTGTAGAGTTGCCAAAATGGTGATTTTTCAAATTTAAATATGCTCGTTGAACGTATATTGCGTAATTAATTAATTCCAACTCTGTGTCCCTCTAATCCATTGACTATTGACTAGTTTTAGTGACTTCTTGCTAGCGTTGTGCCATTTCTCGTAATATCATCGAGTTTAAGAAAAAAAAAAGTCCGAGGAGATCTGATCATCAGAATTTTTGTTTCTTCTCGTAGTAATCTTTGTTTGGGCTCTCGTAAAACCCTAAATTTCGTCTGTAATGGCTTTCGACAATCTGACGGAACGTACTGTTTTCAGAAAAATCCAAGAAAAACCTGAGAACAAGGTTCGATTTTTCATTATTTCTCCCCCTTTATTTTGCAATTTTGTTTTTAGGGGATTTGTTTCTCTTTGTTATTTGATGGGGGAATACGCTCGTTAATTTATGCTGATTTTGGATATTTAGGTATGCTTCGATTGTAATGCGGATGATTCAACATGGGCATCGGTTACATACGGGGTTTTTCTCTGCATGGATTGTTCATCTGCCCATCGAAATCTCGGTGTTCATATCAGCTTCGTGAGGTAAACTTTGGATTTCTATCACCAACACCATCTTAATCCTATTCAGCATATCTGATGATTCTTTGTGGCATTGTTCTATATCTTTCTTACATAGGTAGGTGTAGTTTACATTAGTTATGTGATAAATACGATAAGATTTCAGAATTCGCTGACTCACATCATATTATTTTATAATCTGAAATCTAACATTTTACCACCAAAAAAAAAAAAAAAAAATCAATTTGTTTTGTTTTTGGTTTTTGACTATATAGGTCAACGAGTTTAGACTCATGGAGCCATGAGCAGTTGAGGGCGATGATGTTTGGTGGCAACAACCGCGCTCAGGTGTTCTTCAAGCAACAAGGATGGCACTATGCGGGACGATTTGAAGCTGAAAAGTACATTTCAAGAGCTGCTATTTTGTATAGGCAGATTCTTGCTAAGGAAGTTGCATCTGATTATGCTGCCAAGGTAGAGTTACCTCCTCAGGAAAGTTCTTGTGTGAAACGTGAAGCTACCGGTAAGAAGCCTATCGGTGCAAAAACGACTGGTGCTCTTGGTGCATGGAAGCTTACTACTAAGGTATAGTTAAGTCTCAGATTATTATTATTGTTATTATTTTATTTTCTTGTTCGGATAATAAAATATCGTTCTTTCTTTTCTTTTACTTCCTCCTCGTAAAATGCAGCCAGACGGAAAACTCTACGAGCAGACAGCGGAAGAATCATCTTGGAGTGCAAATAGTAAAAGCGGAATCGATTCATCACTAACTACTCGGTTTGAGTTGGAAGACGAGTTGCAATCTGGAGGAAAGAGCGGTGGTGGAACACAAGTGCTTAGCCATGTTTCTCCACCAAAGTCAAGCTCCAGCTCGTCGAGAGTCGTCCTGGTAAGCCGTGTTTTTCTTCTGAAACTTAACTCACTAGCATCCAGTTACAATTCTCTGACTAGTTATATATATATATATATTAATAGGTTGAAGAATCAGATGCAGCAAGGAAGAGGTTCTTACACGCAAAGTCCATATCCTCTGCTCAGTTTTTTGGGGACTCGGCTCAATCAGAAACTACCAATGAGGAGTTGCTGGTGAGTAGATAATAGTTGCCACCATTATCATCACAAACACTCTATTTTAGTTTTAATTTTTTTTTTTGATGAATGATTCATTTGATGTATGTGTTGATAGTTGAAGAATGATTCCTCACTGGTAGGGAACATAGTGGGCAAAACGAAAGAGAACCTCGACTCTTTGGCCTTTGCTATAAAAGAGTAAGAAAACGAGTGGTGTTGGCATATGGATATTTTTAAGTTAAATCTTTGTTTGTTTTGCACTAAATTTTGTTTTCGTGGAATTTTGTAGTGCTTTCTTTAAGATGTCAAGTCAAGATCATGTCCTTTATACACTCCGTAGGGACCTGAGTGACTTAATGCAGATAATATATGGCAAAGATGCTGATGCCATCCCTTTTGCCACTCGTCTTCGATGGGTCGATGATGTGTGTATACGAGTAAGTTACCCTCGAACCCCTCTCTGCTTTTCTATATAACCATAATCGTCATAACCGAACCGGACGATTAGAAACTTTGCTAACCGTTTTCATAAACATGGTTTTTGGTTGGTTGATTCTAACAGGTGAGAATTGCCACATTAGGGGAAAACGCTTTCAGGGAAGACCAAACAGACTTGGTTAATGGCATTCGACGCGATGCCCATGATTTGATGGAAGAACTACGCTGCAGGCAGAAACTTTTGCTACGAGAACAACAGTTCTTCGGAAACAGAATTGACTAGTTATAATTATTATTCGTCATATCCATTTTATTTCGCATATTGATGTTTTATATGTTGAAACAATTGTACTGGAATTGTAACTATCTAGAAAGACACTCATGAAAAAATTATAATATGCGATTCTACAAAATATTAATATTGACATTATGTATTGATCTTTTTCTTAAACCTTTTTGAGACGTAGCATAATTTTCATAATTTACATTGATTTCAGTTTATTATTCTGCGGAGTAATATCTAGTGTTAATTAAATAGAATGTTGCGTTCAGTTTTGTTGAAGAATATTGTTATCTTGATCTGAGTATGTGTATCTACAAAATTCGAGATGACGTCACTCGGGGGAGAAGTATTGCGTCATAAACTATGGAGATATACATTCCGGTCAAATAAAAGACAGTTTGACCGCACGTGCCAGAAGACACGATGAAATATTCAGAATTCTGTCAGTTCAACGACGTAGTTTCATCACAAGTCTTATTTTCCTTATTACTGCTTCTCCGACAACGTACTCTCTCGGTCTCGAAGTTTACAGTGACACGTGTCTTTATTAGAATGGAGTATCTGTGGCAGTGGATTACGGAAATCAAGCTGCCACCGCACACGAACGCAATGATCTCTGAGCCACTGATCTTGCCATGTGTTTCTTCGTTAGTAGCGAAATCAACTGCTTTAAGTATTTTGTTTTAGATTTTGGTTTCTTTTTTTTTTACCAAAAATATTTAGTTTGGGCTGTAGACATTTCTTTTTTTTTACCAAAAATATTTAGTTTGGGCTGTAGACAGTAGACCATTGTATTTGTTTCTTCGAAAATTATTATAGTATATAGGCACTATCCACTATCCACTAAAGAGAACAAGATATGTGAATATGTGATGTGTGAAAAGCTAAACAAAATGTATTTAAAACGATCGTATTGTCTAGATTCAAAAAAAAATTGTTACAGGAGGAAAAAAAACAACATTGGCGTGGCTATTTGATACTGTGGTTTAAAAAAAGAAGAAGATACTTTCCTCTTACAACTTATTTCTTTGTTTTGTTTACTCACTCATTTTAGGTTTTTTTAATCCTTTTAACTCAACAAGAAAAAAACAAATACAAATACAAATTCATATAATTCGAGAGAGATTTGGTGAGAAGTCAGCATTGCCGACAGGAAAATCTGCCTCACCACCAAAATGGTGAAAATACCAAACTAATAATTACAATGACTTTTTTTAGGTTGTAACTATATCAGTACATAATTACAATCTCTTTTTCTTTTACGACATAATTACAAAAATATATATATTGTTAACATTTTACTTCAGTATAGATCAAAAAGTTTTATTCTAATTATTAAAAGAAATCATTTGATATAAAAACTGATTTTGTATCCTCAAAACCATAGCCGAACTGCGAGTTATTGCATATACCTTCCAATCTTCTTTTAAATATTGATGTACATCAGTACAAGTAGAAAAAGTGAGAGACACTGTTTTTCTATTTAAAGTGTTGTTTTTGTTAATTGTCTGGTTAAAGTTTTTATCTTATTGAGATTAATTTGTTGTTAGAGGAGGTGGTTGAGGTGAATCTAATGCCTGCTAGAAAGTTCAAAGTTATACAAGGAGAAAAAAACAATAAAAAGTGTATTTTTAAAAAAGTAGTATACTTTGCTATTTGTGGGGTATAAATATAATTATTGATTTCTACTTTTTGGGTTCCCCCTTGTTCGGTATAGTTAAAAACTTAAAATTACCACCTTAATAAAAAAATGATTCCTTGTCAAATAATTAAAGTTAAAACCTATTTTCTATTCAATGATTTCAATCAATAGCCTATAGACTCAACTTTCAAATGGATTAGTTAATAAGCATTAGTATGAAAATATACTTGTTAAATATAACAGTGCTTTAGAATGTAGTCCATATATACATGCATATGTGTGTATGCATGTGTGTGATTGCGTAACATAAAAAAGAGGTACTTGACTTCTCTATTTGTCTATAACTTAAATGGAAAAATAGCATCTAAATTATTGTATTTCTCTTTACTATTTCTAAATAATTGTTTGTTTTTTCATTGCTTTCCCTGTTTTTACTTAATTTGTGTAATTTCACTTTAGCTGTCCGGTCAGTCCATTTATGAAATCTTGCCACTAGATTTCAAATTATGGTACTATTGATAAAGCTATGATTTACAAGAATATAAATCATGGGTTACAGATTTTCTTTTCAAAAACAAAAAATACCCCACAAAGTAGTACAAACCATGGGCTCATACAAATAAAGAGGAAATAATTCAACCTTTTTAACTATTCATACCTGTAGAAATCATGGGTAATTATTCTTATATTTTGTTTTTAGTCTGAAAATTACGGGTAATTAATTATCACAAATTCACAATTGCTATATAAAAGAGTAACAAGACTTGTATAAGTACCTACATCCATACATAAAGTTTCAAAGAGGGTTTTCTCAACAAAGATTAAGGATTTGAGGGTGTAGGGTTTTAGAATTGTTCTTCAAAATATGTAATTTGACATCTCACTCCACAGCTTGAAAATGAACTCGTACACGACAACAAAAACTATGATTTCGATGCAGTAACCTTCCACTGAATTTCATGATGGGATCCACATTTTTGTTCTTATCAGAGTTAGAAAATAGATCGGACCGATTGGTAGTTACTTAGATATATAAATGCATAAATGCATAATCATTATCATAATCATAGTTAGATGGAAATCAAAACCCGTTAATCAGGTTTTGTTCTTCGGCTACTCTAGATGACAGTATCCAATCTTTAGTGTGTCATTGCCATCAACAAACGTTATCATGAAGAAAGAACATTAAACTTTCAAAAGTTAAGTCATTTTTATCAAAAAGTAAAGACATGTTTTGAGGTCATGATTAGGAATATGAATTTCGATGAAAAAGCGAGAAGGATCATTACACTTTGTACCAACAGAAGAAAGAAGCCAAAGCTGTCATTAATTAGAGTTTCTAACTTCTAACCGATACATGGATGGTCATGTTTCACAAAATTTCATCGAGCAAAAAGGGTTGCTAGTACCAATCTATGCCATACGAGAAATGATGGAAGTAGCAAGTATGGTCACAAGACTAAACTTTAAAAATCCAAATCACCGAAAATAATATAGTAGTATATATATATATAGGCTACAGAAATACAAATACTCAAATCACATATCGATGATAAGTGATCTCTTTCTCAGCTTCTAAAGGAACCAAGTACAAATTGAATATTAATGATAGTAATGAAAGAAAAGAATTCAAAACAATCCTAACAAATGCCAAAAACTAAGCTGAAATTAAAACTGATCAAAAAGAAAGAGATTCAAACTTAAAAACGTGTCACACCGAAGATGTATCAGCAAGAACATCATTTAGCAAATGGTCATCACCACCACCGTTAGCCATAGCAAGCAGCTCTGCATCCCTATCCTCCTCATTCGAGAAATCTCTCCTCTCGAATTTCGAATTCGCCGATATAAAGATCAGCTTCTGAGCTCGATCTATAGCCGCACGAGACCTCCCGTTCGAGTTCACCCATTTCAAAAGCGAGGAATTGCATTTGAACCCACAAGTAGTGGCGTGCAAGAAAATGAGCCTCACCGCAACTTTCCCTAGTGACCTGAACTCACTAAGGTACGTCTCCCAAACAAGCCTACTGCTCTGAGGATTCGCTATCCTCATCTTACCCGAAACCGGATCACGTTCTTTCATCTGAACCGCACGCGCGTACATTGGATCAAGCCCTTCCGTTCTCCACTTCATAAGCTCCATCAACGCAATGTGTGCTTCGTCTCTAGACACAAGCCTTGTGATCAACTTATCAACATCTTTCTCTTGCTCAGGAGACAAACATTTGAACGGAGGGAGATACTTCCCGCTGCTATCTCTTACCAAGTAAAGAGGGTCGAGTATAAACGCAGCAGCCCAAGCCGGATGATAACTCTTCTTGAATCTCCTCTCGACTAGCTTCTCCACGTGTCCTTCTCCTACATTGAACTTAGAGTCCCAATCTTTGATCTTAGCTCTTAGCTCGTCCCATAGAGGGAGACATTGCCCTACGAGAAGCTTCTCTGCCTCTATCCTCCGAGCCATCTCTTTAACAAGCTTGATCAAACCGTGAACCGCCTCCACCTCGTTCCAAAACCCTTCGTCTCCGACCATCTCTCTAACCTCCCTAGCTGTATGATCCTCCATTAACACAGCTTTACAAGCATCATCATGCATTACCAACTGAATCGCTCTAGCGGAACTCAACACATCCTCAAGAAGATTAAACAACGGCTCAAAGTTACAAACTTTACTACTACTACCACCGCCACAGCTACTTCTACTACCACGTTGCTGTTCCTCGTGGTAGTAATAACAATGCAAAGGCAATCTAAGCATTATCGATTCGCCGTGTTCTTGCAGCTGATACTTACAGTGTGCGTTTCGTATCTGCGCCGAGTTGTTGATGAACTTTGCGAGTCTGAGACAGTTCTGCGAGACGGATTTGAACAAAGGAAGCTCTTT